TGCATTCTTCCAACAAGAACTAATCGCCAAAACACCCACCACAACAACAGAATAAGAATTCTTCAAACTTTTCATTAATCTCTTAAAAAAAAGACTCTAACTCGAACAGTCTCAAGATAATGACAACAATCTTCATCCTTATTAGATTTAGTAAAGTAAATACCTCGAGACTTAAATCTTGAGCTAAATCATAGATAGAAATAAAGAGCAAGGCTTACTTCGAGCGAATATCAACCAGATCTTGATGATGAGGTTATAGCAACAAATATCTGTAACATTTTAACATTAGATTGTCTTGATAATTAACAAGAATATGGAACAATAACAGTATATAATTTTCTTCTCAAGTTTAATTGGCGAATTAAGAACATGTAAAGGCCTCCTACCAGACGCTATTACAAACTTCACTCTGTTTTCTTAATCATGCAGCACATTGATGAAATGCAAAGTGCTTTACTTCATTTAGCATCTTCCATCATGAGGACTAGAGGTTTATTTAGTCGAGTTAGCTTGCACGTGATAGAATATATTATTAACTGCGTGTTTAGTTAATCAGGAAGCTCTCAATCTTGTGGCACCATGAGAAAACAAAATAGCGTCAACGTCTAAACACTGGCAGAGAAGCAAGACACTGATGAACTTAAACTCAAAAGCGATGATGTATTGCTTTTCTAAAAGGTAACCAGAATTGATTTCAAACAATTCTACAACTAATAATGCCGACTTCTAGGAGTCGTCAACTTTAATTGAGGCTTATTTCAGCATGGAACATTAGATTATCCAATGTTGTTTCTAAATGCACTCTGAGAAGTTCCTTATTTCAACAGATTCTTGAGGCTTATTTCAACACTTTGAGAAATCCTTTATTTCATTTTATTACTATGTTATTGAAGTTTCACATTACTTATTTCAGCAACAACTCATTGTACCACATCTAGCCTAGACTTTATAGTGTATAAACTGTTCATTATCTCCTTGAACATAAATTTTTGATGATTATTAAATGTCTAATTTAATATTTTTGATTTAGATAGAGATGTTGTTTTAATAAACTCGCAGCACGAGTACATTTCAACTGACAAAAACATAAAGAACCACTTTAGAATATCAATCGCAAAACTAAAAAGAAGTTATATATCACACAAGTTCAAAAGATCCTAAATCGGAATACCAAAATCAAACAGAAGCAGTTGTTTAACACTAGATTCAATATTATACTAACGTTATTTATTACCAAAAAATGGACCCAAACAAAAGTATAAACATCAAATTTATAGCAACACATTTTACTGGAAAAGAAAGCTATTGTGAAGGTGATAAAAAGAGAGATACCTTTTAGAGAGAGAATGTGTCGGTAGTCAGTAGTTACAACAATAAAAGTTACCTGCAATATAAAACTATAACAAACTAGTAAAATGCTTGAACCTAACTCCAAATGCTTGCTTGAACCCTAACATCTATTTTCAGAAAAAATTACTTCTAAAAAAATCTCTATTTTCAGAACATTCAAATTTCTAGAACCCCTATTTTTGAGAAAGTACCAATCTTACTTCAAGCTAAATGAAATGGAAAAAGTTCAGAGTTAAAATATCATATTTTCATAACACCCAAACCACTAAATTCTCTATTTTCAGTGGTGTGTCAAGCAATGGGGGAGTTAGGATTTTTAATAAGGGGGTTCAATATCTGAAGAACTAACACACGAACTAACCGAAGGAGGTTCAACATCTATTATATACATAAAAAAATATTTTTAACCACGTATAAATAATAAAAAATTTCGCCGCAGGGGGTTCAAATGAACCCCCTAACAGAAGGCTGGCTCCGCCCATGGTGTCAAGTGAAACGATTCTTACCAAAAAGTTCAGAGTTAGGGTTCATATTTTGCAACTGAAAAACAATAGTGTGTCGAGTTGAAACTAGAAAGCAATGGTATGTCGAGTTAATCTGGTATCCAAATGCAGGAATCTGACCTAAATTCTTAGTTGGGGTTCCTATTTTGCAGAGAGAAGAGTTGAAAGATACTTCTATTTTGTTTGGATTTGAGCTAAATGAAATCAAAATGGAGATGAGAGTTTGAGCGCTTACCTTTCAAGATGGAGACTTCAAAATGTTTGCTTCAGAGATTAGAGATGGAGACTGGGAACATATGGAAGCTTGAGAGCCTTCATTGGAGTTTCAGAGCTTGAGAGCGTGAGTTTCTAGAGAGGGACTTGAAATGTTGAAAATTTTGTGCCCTAGAATATATCACTTTAAAAAGTTTTGCAACGGAATTAGTGACGGATTCTAACATCCGTCGCTTTTAAAAATATATATATATTTAGAAAAAATTATATTGACGAATATTTTCGTCACTATATAATATAAATTTTATAAAAATATATTTAAAAGTTTAGCAACCTTTTTTTCGCACTAATTCCATCGCCCAATATTAATTAAATTTGTCACCCCTACTTTGTTATTAAATCCGTAGGAAAAACTAGGCGCCAAAATTTTGTAGTAATATTTAGCGACGAATTAAATATTTCATTGCAAATCCATCGCTATATTATAAATTAAAAAATCAATTGTTAATTTTGCAACAAAATGGTTATTCCGTCGCAAATCCATCGTTATACAGTGACGGAATATTGTTCGTCGCTAATATCCGTCGCTAAACGTTATTCTTTCATAGTGAATGTGACACTTGTCGTACTATGTTTAAAAGAGCTTTTGATTTTTTATTATTATACTGATTTGACAGTTCGTGATATTATATTATTATAACATTGTTTGGACATTTTTTAACTGTTCAAATTTTCAAGTATCAAAATCAGTAAATGTGAGGAGTTTTTAGTTTTTTTAAAAAATATTGTTGTCTCTACCGTCTTTGATAATAAAAAATTGTTCTCTCTGTCACCTTCTTCCCCCCTTCATCTTCTTTCACAATCTTGTTTTTAAACCTAAATCATTTCTCTACTTCTTTTTTTATTTGTTTTGTTCTTAGATTTATATTTATTAACTTCACATTGTAATATTGTTATTTTTAAAACTAATGATTAATTACCGTTAACAAGATGTTAGCTATGTGATTGCAATATCTTATCTTGGATGTTAACAGTAGTAAAAATATTATTTATTAATATAAGATTTGAATTATTTAATTCAAAGTTCTAAAATATTTCTGTTTTTTTTTCTTTTCTAGCAGTAAACTTTGTACTTTTTTCTTATATTATTTATTACAATTTCCAATATTGTTTAATGTGAAAATTTATATATTCTAATCTGATTTGGATTTACAGTTTGGTGTTTGAGTTTTTCTAATTCTAGTATGGTAGTTTGTTTCTAACCATTAATTTCCGTCAATTTCTTTGTAAGGAAACAACATTCAAATATAATAGTTGAAATTTAAAAAATTGTTGATTCTGAAATAATCAAGTGTTATATATATGCGAAAGTTAACAAAACAAATTAATTTAGAATGATGATAAATTATACCAAAAGGAAAAGTATTCTGAAAGAGGCTTGATACTTTTATATAATTTGATCAATTGATATACATATGATAAAATTAGTATAATAAAAAATATAAAATAATAGCAACAATAGTCTCCCCTAAAAAATAATCTTTTAGTGACTATTATTTAGTTAGTAAATATAATTATTTTAATAAAAAATATTTTCTTCCATTTATTTTATGATTAGTCAAGTGTGTCAATCACTCATTTTTGGTCAATCAAATGTATATATTAGTGAATTGTTAAATTCGTGTTGTAAATCATGAGTTTCCTACTTAATCAGATCACTGAAAAAATGCATGATGAAAAACAAATTCTCACTAAATTAGTGGAAAATTTCATAATTTTTCTATATAAAAATATTATTATTTTTTCTTTTCTCACCGATTCAATCAAAAAATTTGTGAAAATAACCTCTGAACATTTTTTAATATAACTTTCCGTGGAAAAACAATAATTTTTTAATAGTAATCAAACCCAATGTAAGCTAGTGAATAGTGATTGCTAAACACCTAACGTGTGCACCAACTCTCAACGAGGTCATTAAAATTGATAATATAGAAGCAAAAAAGACTGTAATTTGATTGATAATCACCCAACTTCTATTTTATTATACAAAAATTGTCACTAAATTTTTTTGGGGAACTTTCACATATAGCCACTCAAAAAATAGCTTAATTATGCTTCATATCTATAGTTTGCTAATTACGATTCGTAGCTACATGTTATAGGGATGAGAGAGGCGAGCGAGAGAGGGCAGAGAGTGGAGAGAGGCGAATTGTATATGTATATCTGTCAAATAATTGTATATATGTAACAAGTATACATTTGTATTTGTATATCTGGCGAGCGAGATGGGAGAGGGAGGAGAGAGGCGAGCAAGAGAGGGCAGAGAGTGAAGAGAGACGAACTGTATATGTATATCTGTAGATAATTGTATATATATAACTGATAAATATATATGTATTTGTATATTTGGCAAGAGAGATTGGGAGAGGGTGGAGAGAGGCGAGCGAGATTGGGAGACAGAGAGGAGAGAGGCGAGCGAGAAAGGTCAAAGAGTGGAGAGAGGCTAATTGTATTTGTATATATGTCACATAATTATATACATATGTGTATAATTTGTATTTGTATATGTATAAAAGAGGACAAGTGACGTAAGCTAAGCTAAAATTAAGTTGCGAGCCGTTATTAATTCAAACTATAGCTATATTAGCTAATTAACTAGTATATGTTTGTTTTTCTGCATAATTTTCCTAAAAATATTTGATGTAATGAAAAAGTATATAATTCAACTTACTTTATAAGTATCACGAAAGTTATTAAACCATTTTTTATAACAAAAGAGACACAATTTTGCCTGACTAAATTGTTACCACAATCATGAGAAAATTGATAGTTACAATTATTTCTTTATTTCAAAACTAACCAACAAGACTAAAAAATAAGAGACCTCATGAGAAATGAGCTTCTTTTCCTATATTTTATTTTCAATTGGTTGAAAAGTCGAAAATATATACACACAACAAGTATCATGTATCATATCATCATAATTAGTACATATTATATGGTGTTTTTAGAAACAACTCCGAGGAAGGACCGTGCCACGATGTGTGCCTTGTGCATTTTTACAATATGTTAAGGCTGGTCTTTTCAAATGAGGATCCACAAAAGTGAGCTTTATATCTTGTAATGTGATACCACTACATGGATTTGTTTGGCTGCAATCTAATTTTATTGCTTCTTGTGTTGAAGATGTCCCTTTTATATTCTTGTATGTTACTTGACTCACCTTCACTCCTGAATTCTGCATTAAAATTTAGTAAAAGAATATATAGAATAAACAAAATGAGTTTCACTTTATTAGAGGTGAAAGAGCAATACATTTCGAACACACAAAAATATAAAGAAGTTGAGAAAATTATTTTTCAAAAAAAGATTTTTTGTTAGTAAATGAGAGGAAATAACTTTCGTCACTGGTGATCATTTATGTGTAAAAAGTTACAACTTAATTACACACATATTATTATTATTATTTAGTACTCAAAAGTTTTATCAAAATATAGTACTCTTGATTTTCTAATAATGATCTTTAGTCTATTGGAATATCCGATCTAACAACTAAAAATACTTTTTTGGAACATGATTTTTTGTTGTATAAAACATAATATTAATTATAACAAATAACAATATAAATGAGTAGGTTCTAGTTAATATACAATGGCCATACAATTCTTCTTTATGGTGGATAATGGATGGTTGATAATTATGAGATTTTAGGTCTAAATTTTAGTAAAGATAAAAATATTAGGTAATTTTCTCCATTTGTCCTAATCTTAATGAATAGAGACGAGTTGTATATGTTATTGGTGGAAACTGAAAAGTGATAGATATCATATAGATCTATAGTTATGTAAAACTAGATCTGAACATCACGTTTATCAATAAGAATAATAATTCCTTTTTAGTTTCCTTCACATTTTCATTACCTTAGAAGATATATACTTTTTGTACAAATTTAGGATGCAGTAATAACTATAAATCATCTAATTTGAATTATACCACTTTTAAATAGAGTTTATTAACGTATATATATATACATCGACAATGTAAAAAGTTATACCTGCTGTGGACAATTGTTATCAGGGCAATAGTTTTGATCAATGAGAATAGGGTAGCCAACATTCCTCATAACAAGATTTCTGAAGATGAGATTTTTAGCATAGCTATTACTTGGCCTTGCCCATGACTTAACCCTCACACCATTTTGTGTTTTTGTGAATACTGAATTTGCCACTGTTATATTCTGAACTCCTGCTTCATTTAGGCTATTGGCCAAACTTCCTATGCTGCAATATATATCACAAAATATATAGTCGGCGTTTGGACATAAAAATGTAATATTTATGGTATCAGAAAGATAAAATGTGATGACAGACATTGAAATTTTGTGAAACTTTACAAGACGTGTTTAATTTGAGTTGGAACTCTATAAAGTGTGCTCGGTTTCAATTATGATTCTTGGTGGCTACTCAACTCTAAACTCTAGTTCATGCCTATTTCCCTTGAAAAGGCATCTCGAAAATTCCACAAATTCATGAAATATTCATAGAGATATCAAAATCAATCATCCTAGTTCGAGAAATATACCACCTAACGACCCTCAAATCATGGATAAATATTATGAGAATAGAATCAATGAGGAACAGATTTGTACCTACATATTTTTATCAATAAAATCATGTTTCTTCATATTTTATTTGTGATTGTAATTTATTTTCTATCACTTTAAAATTTGTTGCAAACTGTGATATTTCAAAAATGGATATTGGATGTTATTTTAGAATTTTGTAAGAATATTTTATATATGTAACTATATTCTACATTGAAGGTATTGAATTTCTTAAATCAATAAATATAAAATTTAAATTTTTAATATTGTGAGTTGTATCCAATGAGGAATTAGAAAGGACAAAAATAAGAATATAAAATGAACGCATTATATAAGTGGGCAGCAAAATGCCCTAACGACTATCTCGATAAATGTTTCAACTTTCAAAAATTGTCAAACTTGCATTATAAAACAGATGGAAGAAAATGTATTATTTTAAGGGAAAGGGGTCAAAAATACCCCTCAACTTTGGTTTATTGTTTGACTACGCCCTCGCCGTTAAAATGAAGTTATTTTTACCCCTCCCGTTACTAATTTCACCAAATTTACCCCTCAATTGGATGGAAAACCCAAATCAATTAAAATTACCCAATTTCAATTAAATAACCCATTTTTTTCTCTTTTTAATCCGAACCCGACCCATTTATACCAAATTAAAACCCCAAATCAAGCTCCGGCAATCGCCATTCATTTTCTCCGTTTTCCGGCGAAACACCACCAAAACAACCTCCAAACGACCACCTGAAACCACCACT